TAAATTTAAAGACCATAGCCAAAATAATCAGATTCGCAATTGAGAGTCCCAGACTAGTAAGATAGTGGAAGGACCAGCGTGGAAGTTGGGCGAATTGAGTGGCGACTATTGGAGCACACGTTGCACCAACACCTTTGAAATTCAATGAAGGATGAATTAGCAAGCGTATCTGTGATTCGAATTAAACGCTTACCGTACGCAGCATGAAGAAAGTTCATCAGTGCCCTGTCTTCAGAAGCAGCAACAAATCCGTTGGCTTGTGCGTCCTGGAAATATAAGTACATTCGAATATATTAGATTTGAATGGCAGTCTCACTTGTAATGCAATACCAAAGCCGTTAATAACAAATCCTATGACTAGGACAGGGAAAGGTGGGGCGGGAGCCATCATGGCATAGCCGATTATTTGGGCAACACCACCTTGCCAGAATGTCAGTTTCTAACTCCCAAACAGAAATGTTAATTGATTACCGATGACAATTGTCTGTAAAAGTCATGAGCCAGGTCCATTCGCAGCGATATTGAATATAGCTTACCTTCCCAAATCCAAAACGATCCGTAAGAAATACGTTTGAAAATGCCCCTAAGATAAAGCCCTAAGGAACGCTGTTAAAGAAACACAGATGGATTAGGCAGAAGAAAGAATATTTACCAGGCATGCGCAGACAAAGAGTAGTGATACAATTGTGAAATTAACCTGAATTGCCCACAATCATTGGAGTTAAACAAGGAAAGGTGACGTGTTTTCACATACATGATAATTGTTTTGGATTCTGGGAAGCAAGGGACCAGTTGTTCCTGTTGACAAGCAGTTTGTTAAGCAGTTTGTTTAGCACAAGTCACAGGAAGGAGGGAAGAGTTTACCGTCATTCCATCCAGCTAAGAATAAACAAAAGCAGAGTGCTGCAAATTGTATATGGCCTCTGCGTCGAATCTCCTTGTCATTTATGGGATCTGCAACGGGATCTACCTGTGAAGTGGCAGAACCCACTGAAATCGCGGCGGTGTTCCGGTCGTTCTCCAAGATTTGATGGACGGATTCTGTGACGCTAGCCTTTGAGACATTTCTAAGGCTCTTCAATCTAATAGACGAAAGCGCAATATTTTCAGGCTCTGTAGTTGTCGTCGTATGGGTTGCCATTAGATGGTTATGGAGATAAGGACGGGTGAGAACGCTGCCTTAAATGTTTGGCTGAAGAACAAGCGACGAGACACTCTCGGCATTCCGTATGGCCAGATATGCCGGCATTTCCTGCAGAATTGCTCCCATGATCAGCAGCTCCCCTCGGAGAAATCTCAGGTAAATGACTTCAGGGCTTGATGTGGGGATAGTAGGCATCAGGAAAGTTGACACAAAATCCGGTTTAGCGCCCATGCTAGGAATGATAGGCGGTGGTATGTAGGGCTATGTAGTCTATATACCGGCTCCTAGTGACTCCGTACTTACCTATCCTACCTAGTGCTACCTAGCACTATGAGAAGTTTAGCGCGCGTGGCACGCTTTGCTGATGTATTACTAGATTTGCCCGCGAGGCCGTTAATCCTTTTGGAAATTTGTTCTAGACTCAAAGACAGCTTATTCATGGCTTTTCATTCTCTTACTCATATGTATGCTATATCATCCAGACAGTAAATATGGTAACAGAGGTAGACAATTATAAACTAAAATATGCAAAATGGTTGAACCATTACATATGCATTAAGCTTTAAGCTTTTAGGTCTGATCTTCTGCCAAAGATTATGAAGCCTTGACATAGTGACTCCATTCAGAACCGCCATCCGCCCGTGAGACTCAGGAGATCACGAGAATCATATTTCGCCTGAAGTGTTCGAAGTGAAGGCACATTATCCCCGAATAAAAGCTTGAGGTCGGTCCCTTTTGAGCATAATTACTGTAGAGAATTGCAGCTGGACTGGATTGTCCTTCTTCAATCGCGACTTGCTGGATGGCGGCGGCAGCGGTCCTAGTTGCTGCCAAAGTGACATTGTCAGCTGTCGGATCAGTATAGCTGATGAGGATTTGGAAAGGAGTCCAAGGATGTGCTGGGGAATGAGGATATGCACCACCAGTAGAGTGATCGTATAGATCGGAGTTGAAAGGTTTGATTGAAAGGGCAACAAAGGCATTTGGGTCGCTATTGTTAATCAAGCCGGGTGTTCCTAGGAGCTTGCTCTGACATTAGTCAATTGTTAGGCTGATTTCACGAAAGACTAACTATAGTCTGGTTTACGATGGCATCGACTATACGCTGGGTATAATGAATGATTGGAACAGTATGTGATGCTACTCTGCTCGCTGTATTAGTGTATCAGGCGATAAAGACGAAGGAAAATATAAAGAACCTTGCGGGAGAAGATTGACTAATGCTTTTACAACGTCCGGAAAGGAGCGAGCTTTGACATCGGTTTCGACAGCACCTGGGACGGCGAGGAAGGCCGCGATCCCAGACCGACAGATTATCCCACAGCGATTACAACCGAACAAGCAAATACTCTCGCTCAAAATTGGTTCTTGGGATCCTAAAATTTTGTATTTTCAGCTCATCCACTCCATCTTGGCTTAAAAAATCCAGAGGAGATTTTAGCTCAGTCCAGTCCCGGGGGACCGACGGAACCAGACCGGACCTCTGTAACACTACTGCCAGTGAGGCCCAAAAGTAGTCTGGAATGCATTGTATATCGAAGGGTTAAAGACACTACGAACCGCTACCCCAAGGCACTTCATTTCCACTTGAAATATGTAAGCAGTGAAGCGTGCAAGCTTTCGGATAAAAATACTTCAATGCTAGTATCATAATGTTGCACGAAAAGACCCTTTGTATTGCAGCATGTATTTCATCCCCAAACCTTTCAGGCAGAGCTTTGAATTTCACAACCATCACACAATGTAAAAATATTCCGACACGGGGAATTGAACCCCGGGCTATTGCGACCTAATTGAGAGGCGATAATGTTAGCCACTACACCATATCGGACTATACTTGTATTTGGTTCTAAATAATTGTAGCCCGGTTTAAAAGGAAATAAAACCAGCTTCTGATTTCTGCAGGCTGCAGGCCAGACTTCATAGATTTTCAGCCCAAAATATCATAAAAACGTTCTCTATAGAATTCCTGTTGACCGGTTTATATATCACATGTTCATTGACAGATGACAGCCTGAGCCTTGAGCCTGAGGTGGCATCTGGGATCCGGGCTATGTGCCAGTGGTCACTCGAAACTCAATTACAAATTGGTATCATTCCTGAAATTCAGTATGTCAATTGAAACAAACTAGGATCTCATTGTCCCGAGAGAGACATAGAAAAGACCTCCTGACTACCGGAGCTTAGTACTGACCAGTGCAGTGCATTGGATGCAGTGCTTGCGGTCGCTGCATCCATATTGCTGCTTCCATGCTCCGTGCTCCGTGCTCTATTCATAATTATATTGCACTGAACTTTTTCCTTTTGAATTTGGTACTGGTTAGCTTCATAATATACTTACATCTCTCGGAAGGAGTCACGGTACCCAATGATGACTATTCAATATAATTCTGCTAATAAGGGGAATATTTGTGCATCGTGATCTTATTAGTAATTGGTAACGTGGCTCAAAATATTCTAATTAAATATGAGTCGATTTTTTTTAACAACCGATATACGCACCCTAGTAATTCGCCTAGAAGTCCATGCATTGGTAATTCCCCCCAGCCCAAATGATATACATCCAATTGGGATTTCTTCTGCCTATTAATAATCACCTCTTGAGAAAGCTGACCAGACGTTTATATGCAATTAGCCATAAATATATATATGGGGCACTAATTACTATTACCCTGGAGAATCCCTCAAGCTGTACTTCTAGTTGAAGTTCTTCGAACGGTTGCGAGGGTACTGGTGCAAGTTCTCTGGAAGAATCCGCAGAAGAGAAGTTAGTAGGAGACTCAAATTCAACTTTAAATTTCACGTGCCATTTGGGAGATATGTAGATCCAAGCCCGAGATTTATTCCACGACTCCAGGATAGACTACTTTCTTTAGAAATTTGACTCAGTCAGCTTCATGTTCCTTTGGCTCGTTCATATTAGTATAAGGTGGTCCATCTCCCGTGCTCAGATGATTATCCTAATCAGACTCGAGTTTAAGCTTCCAGATAGAGTGAATCTACTCATAATCAAGACTAGAGAAGCACTTTCAGTCCCTGGCACTCACCACGGTGATCTCTTGGCCTGCTTGAATATGGCATTATGATGAACTTGTTTGACTTCCCCAATTCAGTACCTGTTCATAATTTCCGATGCGTATCTCCTTTCTATCCTCAGGCGACAGCAAGGATCTTCCCGAACTTCATTAATCTCTAAGTTTCTAAGAAAGGACCTTGAGTCTTACCGTTATAATGAGCCTATCGACAACCCGGCTACTAGACTCCAGAGTGGTAAGAGCTGTCACGGCCTTTGAAGGCCCCGTCCAGATAATGAGGCAAATCCGGCTACTAGAAAACTTGAGATTTGGTGTATTCGATGAGGTATGATACCCTGCATTCTTTTATTAGTATATGCGCAAGGGGAGTGGGGAGACATAAGCCTGAGCCCGTCGATCGGATGACAAAGCTCTATAGCTCTTTAAAAGGATGTTTGAGTCTTGAGGTACGGCGAATATCAAATAAGGTGCGGGGAAGGTGCAAACCTGTATATGAGCCACGTTCATCAAACCAATCGATAATGATACTATATTTCAGTATATATCGGCCCCCTCTACTTAAGCCCCTTAAAAGATCTTCAATTTACTCCTGTTTGCTCCTGAATGCTTATGATGATCATGGCACATCTTTCGGCATAAACTAAGGGAAATATGTATCTAGATCTCATCAGACGCCTCTGTAAAAGGAGGTGAGGCTCGCAGTAAGTGACCGGACTCGGAGTTTCTCCTCCTTCAAATCCGGGGTTCAACTCTTGACAAAATTTGACACACATAAATTGCTTGATGGGTAACTGACTGACTGGCTACTGAGTCGGCATATATCTTTGTCCAGTTGATGGCTCTTACGAGAGAACGTCACCTCGAAGAACTTATAAGCCAGCTGTCATTGACATTTATATATCAGTGCACGAGGAAGCATAAACAGAGAGTCCAAGGTTTTCAAGTCGTAAATAATAATCCTTGTTTAAGTGTGGGACAGTGTGGGACCTCCGAGTCGAACCAGCCCTCGAGAATCTCGGGAACTTTATATCAATGAAAGTAGTACTACTAGCATACAATACACGTGTGCATAGAAGGACTTCCACCCCGCACGATTCAGCCTGACCCTGGGAGGTAACCACGGAATTGCCGTGTATGTAATTACTACTGCTTTATTCTCATTCTCCCGAGTGTCATCCTCGATTCAAGCGAGCGGGCCGCCGGGGAAAAAATGAGTGCCTCACCACTCACGACTACTTTCTTTGGCCAGATCTAGAAGCTGTAAGAATCAAATGATAGGACCACCGTGACCTTAGAATGCATCTCCATCTCCGGAAATATAGTGCCAAGTAATACGCGACAAATTGACGAATTTGAACATTGACATTGACGTCGACAATGTCCAGTAATCGGATCAGTCGCAAATCATGCATTGGGCTTCGAGAGCTAGAGTCATGACCATGGCCGGGTGTCAGTGATCAGAATCAGTCCTGTCAGTGCAAAAGTCGCACTGTAATTTTATAGTCCTTCTATGGTAACTCACCCCCCAGTGGCGAAATTTACACACCCTCTGAAGGTGAAATACCCATCCAGTAATATAAGTAGGAATATGGGCATGGCTTCTTCCCGCGTAGCGTAACTGTCCCATAGCCATGCCGAATTCGGGGGAAAGTTCAATGTAAATAAATCCAAATCCCTTTGAATCGCCATCACGGTCCTCAGGATCAACCTCCTCATATACAAGTATAAGTCAATAAGCACTGTCAGCGTCAATTAAACCTGAATTACGTACCTACACCTGCACTGAGGCCTGCTAAAGAATCTAAACAAATAATGGTTAAGCGCACCACGGCCGGCGAATCGAGGTACGAAAGAAGAAAGGCACGGTGCCAAAAGTGTAATCGGCTAATGAGGGCAAGAAGCAGCATTCGAAGAGAAGAGAAGAAGCAGCACCGACTCCGAGTTCGAAGCGTGCTAGGCGCTGACCGAATCCGATGAGATATCATAAAGTTTAAGAAGTCCTTCGAAAACACGAGGCATCTTTCTCACTGCTTGCTTTAGTCCCGTCAAACTAGATAGGCGTCAGCCCTCGGGAAACGGCATGTAAATTGAAGCGGTGGCAGGGTGAGCACAGAATATTTTTATTTTTATTTTTATTGTTTCTTGAATGGTTGCCTGGCGCCTGACAAGCCCCGGGGGGCGGAGGGCGGAATGGAAGGATTCAGAGGTCGCGGTCGATTCCGAAGTAAACTGTGATACCAATATCCCGGGCCTGTGATTGATTGATGAATTCCCTTTCTGCAGATCGACGATATCTATCTATCTATGCATCCTCCTCTCTAAGTAATTCCTTATTAGTAAATTAAATCACTCTGAAGACGGTCCAGGATGATGCCATCATGCTGAATGGGCGATGGCCTGCGAGATAGGGATAGAGTAGATACGACGACTTGGAAGAGCTTACTATGTAGCATGTAGTATGCAGGAGAAACGGTGGCATGGAATATAGATATAGATCTCGTGCTCGCGGGGAATGTCTATGTTAATCGATTATCGTGACTCTGTGTAGTCTAGGATGAATGTTTACCAAAATAATAATATATATTGTTGGGTATACAAGGGACTCGGATAGATTCCTAGATACTAATATTAATCTGAACTAAACTCGTGCTTCTGAACACAACCACAATCACACAATGTTAGCTTAATAGTCCAACGTCTCAAAGTCAAACGAAAAATTCCCCGAAATCTCCTGACATTCAACTGGGGCTCCGAAGCTTCAGTTACACACTAGCCCGAACAATTCATGCGCCACCCCCAACTGAATCTCTTCCCTCATCTCCCGGAGCTGATTTCTTCCTTCGTTGTGGCTCATTCTTATCTCTCCATCCATCCAACGATCACTCTGATTCTGAACGGCATAAGAAATGGACAAACACGATCGTAAGAAAATCAGTGCGAATTCCACCATTGAGTACAAAAGTTCCGAAGTTCCGATAATGGAAGAATGGCGCAATCAGGGTCAAGAGGCCCAATAAACGAAACGAATAAACAAAGATCCACACAATATTGACGTAACCGCGGCGCCCCATTCAATAAATCAAAGTTCCGAACTTCCGAGATCGATGATAGACTGTATTGAATGGACAGTGATAAAAATCAGGGTCATAAAGCCTCAGAAAGGAAACATCCGGATTCCGCAGCAAGACCAGACAGTCCGCTCTGATTCAATTGAGATGAGTGAGCGGCTGCTTTGTTTTGGTGCTGAATAATGGAGCGAAAGGGGAGGGAAAGGGAGGGGGGATGGATCCCGCCTTCAGAATCCAGAGTGTTTTCTGCCTCGCGATCCTAAATCACAGAACTTAACAAACAGCACATACAGTTAACCCCTGTATACGCACGGATTTAAAAGACGTCGGAATCGGGGTATTCGGACACCCCAGTTCGGAAAACAAAACAAGGCCTGACGGCGGTCCGCGACAAAACCTCCGCTCAGCAGCCCCAATCTGAATCTGGTTGAATAGAGTGTATTCGATAGCAATAATGTTGGTTGCGAATATTAGACACACAATTCAGTTTCAATTCAGCTGACTCTGAATGTAAATGGAGCCAGTATTTATCGCTATCGAATACACTCTAATAGAGTCGCAATTTCCTTCGGAGGCTGCGCGAGTCATAATATTAATCACCGGCGACGGAGGAGGAAGGGCTTCGGAGTAAGGAAGGCGCGGCGTCTGGACGGATCAATCAGTCCTGCCTTGGACGTTCGATCGGCGGTGGCTGGATGTGGGCGGTGATCGGGAGGCGAGGTGGCGGG